CAGGCCAGTGTGACCCTAAGCCAACCAGTGAGGACAGCACCAGGGGCTCTCTGCTGGGCAGGACGCCCCTACCTGCCCTGGGGGGTGGCAGGTGGCTTCATCTGAAATAATCTTTTCTTTTGCTAGTAAGTTCGCCCCCCCCCCACTTTTGTCCATAAAGACCCTCATCTTTGGTGAGCCCCTAGCAGCATCCAGCCTGGACACGTCCTGTTGACCAATTCTTTAAGGAAGTCCACTAAGTCCCTCCACGGGTGCATTTTGTTCTTGAGCGACACTAAGCCTCGGGTGCCACTGGCGGCGCCAGGGAGAATGAGCGGCTTCCCCAAGTAGCCCCGGCCACCACCTTCAATATTTTCTCAGCAAAAGACAAAAGAAAATGTGGGGGCAGGGGGCCAGCTTAGGGGAGGTAAGCAGCCCCAAGCAGTGGCGGGGCCTGGTTGTCATGCAGATTTCGGCTCGGCTCTCTCCATTGTGAGGCGCTCCCCCCTGCTAAGTCTGCACCTTCCCTGAGGAGGAGTTGGCTTACACTTGGAGATTCCCTTATACATGTAAATGCGCTTTACAAAGGGGGACTTCTGCAGTGGGGGGCTTCGGGAGCTCCCTGTAAACTGTTTGCTACAAATAACCAGCTCTACTAATCCCAAGAGGCAACTCTTGGGGTGCTTTCCCCCCGCCCCCACTCAGGCTCAGGGACTGCCTATCCTGGGGGTGAGGAAAGGCCTCCTCCCACGGCAAGTCGCTGCCCCGACCAGTCACCTGGGAGGCTGCTCCCTGCTGCCGCCCACAGCACCCCGCTCGGCACAGGGGCGCCCAGCGAAGTAGCCCTGGGCCAAGGCGGGGGCGGCCCCGCGGGAAGCAGAACCCAACTGGTCTGTAGGCATCAGAGAACCGATCCAGATTAAACCGCCATGCCCCGGAGCTGGGCTCACAGACCAAGCCCAGATGGAGTTTCTGCAGCTCCTGGGGGAGGGCTGAGCCCTGTCCCAAGGATGTGGGTTCACTGCCCCTTTCAGGGGGTGTGACTTGGCGATGGCGCAGTCTGGGGGTTCACACCCTCGTTCTTCAGTGGGGGCGAAGAGGCCCCCAAAGCCTCTGCTTCTCCCCCAAAGAAGCAATTCGATGACGGATTCTGGTGGCCAGTGAGAAGAGGTAGGCGCTGGCCTTCCAGCCCTTTCTGTTCCCTCCTCCCCAGAATTGCCCAGCTTTTTGCCTGTTCACTTCACACTTCCACTTGGGGCAGGGGCTGTCCCTGGGGTTGGGCGGCAGTAGTTACCACCCCCTGTGGAGAAGGAGCACCCTAGATGCCCCTGCAGGCAGGCTGGTGGCACCCCATCCGCCTCTCCCCTTGGCCTTGCACTCCTCGGACTGAGGCTCTGCTCTGCCCGAAAGGGAACACGGCACAAACCCAGCCCCTCCTGGCTGTGGGCCAGGGGTGAAGGACCCAACCCCACCTCCGCAGGCTGAGTTCCCTCCTGCGCAAAGTGGGCGTAATGCCCCGTGCCTAGCAGGGTGGCTCAGGGCTCTGCAAGGCAGCGAAGGACAGCGATGCCCGCTGGGCACGGTGCATGGCCCCTGGGTGCTGGACGGGACTTGTGCCTGTGCCCCTGGGGGCGCCCCCTTATTTGAATGTGGAAGAAGGAAGCTGTGGTGCCAAGAGTGTAGGGGTGCTGGGCAGGGGGGGGTGTGCTTTTGCCACATTGACCTTGTCAGATCCTGGCCTCTTGACGCTCGAGGCCCACCTCGTTGGGATTTTGCCTTTTCGAATGTTCACGGAGGTCCTGCTTTGTACTGGGGACCCAGTGAAGGTAAAATAGACCGAAGTCTCTTTGTGGCACTTCTCTGTGGGGTTCTTGGGCTCTGGCCACCACACACCGTGCTGGGACTTGGGGGCCCCCTGCCAGTCCCCCTACAGGTCAGCAGTGTGCCCTCCCCGCGTATCCGGCACGTTCTCAACACCAGTGGCCTGAGGAGCGCCGCGCCTGCCCCCTTGTCGGGAGCTTGTCTTCCCAGCCACCGAGCACCTGTTCTTGGCTCCCAACTGGAGAACACAGCACGCCCTGGAGGCAAGTCAGTGGGGAAGGTGGGGAGCAGCCCAGTTTAGAGGCCACAGTAGGCCCTGGGGAGGGCACTGAGGCCAGGCAGAGAAGCTGCCATAAGCCTTCACAAAACGCAAGCTATTCTTGTTCTTTGGAGTCTCACTTCCAAGTCAGGTTTCCTATTTTCTTAGGCGTGTTGCTACCACAGTTTGACTTAGCCTCTTCCCAGCAGGCCTCAGAGGGTACTTAGCTCACTGCCTCCTCTGGACCCAGCCCAACTTTGCCCTGGGGAGGCCCACGCCATGCAGGAGGAGGCGCCCTCACCGCCACAGTACCCCAAGGCGTCACCCGCCGATCACAGGGGAGTTTCCGTGTCCGAAAAGCTTGAAACTTCAAGCCCAGGGAAAGCCACCTACCTCTCGTTTGCGACCTTCAGCCCGGCAAGGCCGGTCTCTGACTCGCTCCTGTGCCTTCAACAGGTGATGTGAGTTTCTGCAGCCTTGTGAGCGGCCTGCAGCGTGGGCCTCGTGATCAGCAGTCAGGCCAGGTGGAGGCCACAAGAAACACACGGGCTCACCGGAGGGAAGCAAGTGGGCATGGGCCCAGCGCCGCTCGCGTCTCGAGGCCGCGCCTCGCGCGCTCCTCTTGCCCAGACATCTGAAGAGCGTGGAGTTCTGCGACCTGCCGGTGCCACCGAGTCAGACTCAACCCAGACTGTTGGACTGTAAAAGTCTGTGCCCTTTCCACTGCTCTAGCCAAACTCCTGGGTGGAGAATGCAGGCCCTCCCCAAGGAAGCTGCTGCATGGGCACAGCTGTGGGGTGGGAATTGGCCCCCTCTGGGGCTGCTCTGGTACCTAAATCAACATACAACAGGTTAACAGGAGAAGAACAGTGTCATGTGCATGAGAGCCCCCCAAGACATGACACCCACAGGCAGGCAATCAAGGCTTAGGGCCTTTCTGGGCCAAAAGGGTCAGGGACTTGGGGGGGGTGCAATTCATAGGAAGGCGAGATGAGCAAATATTTGGCCAACTAACGTTTGCCCTGGCGTGCAGACAGGACAGGGAAGTTTATCTCTGTGGAAAGCTCCCTCGCTGGCCTAGGCCCTTCACCTGAATTCCTTTCTGGAGTCAAGGGAGAGGTAACATGCTTGAATTCCTTTCGGGAGTCAAGGGAGAGGTAAATGCTTTTCCTGCTGGGTCTTGCTCACCTTCGCTGAAAGTCTCCCCAGTCAAGCCCACTAGCCGCTTCTTACAGGCCACGGCCTCTTCATCGTCACCGTCACAAGCCCCATGAAATCGGGTTCTTGTCAGTTTTGTTCATTTTCCTTCTGTTGTTTAAAATTGAGCCACCCAATCTGAGAGCAACTGGCCACATGTGGCTACTAAAATGGAAATTAATTAAAATTAAACAGCAAAAACTTCATTCCTCCATTGCACCGGCCACATTTCAAGTGCTGAAGAGACACACCGTGGCTGCCGTCGTGCTAGAAGTCCCCACGGGACAGTACAGCTCCAGAGCAATGCCCATGGCACTGCATGCCGGAAGGTGTCTGTGTAGCCGATACGACCTACAGGGCGAGTCTCAAGCTGGCAACCCAGGCATAGCTCAAGTCCAAGTGTGAAAGCGTGAGACCAGGCAGAGCCGGTAGGGTGGGCCTGGTCTGAAGGCCTGAGGCCCAAAATGACAGACGGGCATAAACTGGGAGAAACACTTGCACATCGTTTATTTGCTAAAGGATTTGTAGCTAAAAAAATACAAAGAAGCCCTGCAAGTGCGCCTGTCCTGTTGGTGATCATGGTGGCAGGGCAGGAGCAGTGAGGAGTGTGGCCCGGAAAAGGCGCTCCAAGGCCGCAGCCCAAGGGAGCCGCCAGCTGTGTGCTGGTGGCTGCTTCTAGGAGAGCGACCCTCTCGCCCCCTCCCTCTGATCCTCACTCTGCCCGGGGGGCCTGCGCCGCCCGCTGCCTGGAAGCAAGCCCCGGACTGGGGCGCCTGCAGCTGGCCTCAGGCTGTCTGTTGCCCCAGGTAACCTCTGTTCCAATGAACTTGTGCAGCTTTGCTGCCAGAGTGGAAAAGAGCAGAAACAAGAAAGAACCATGCTTCTAGCTGTGTCTGTCAGAAGCGCGGCCGGGAAGACTTAGCAACAACACGCGCCGGCAGGCTCCCGCCAGGCACAGCTGGGGCACCCGAGGAGCCAGGGCCGGGCACAGGGTTAAGGTGACCACAGGCCACACGGGTGGCCACCCGGAACTTCGAGCCAAGCCCAGCTGTGGCTCAGGCGGCAGCTCCCTGCAGCCTGCACCAGCCCCGGCTCGCCCCCTCGCCCCGCACTGCACGCGACGCCCCGTCCCAGGCTCCCGGGTCACACGCGCCGCTTCCGACCTGGGCTTCCTTCTGGCAGATGCGATGCCCTCTGGCCTAGAAATGCCCATTCCAGCACCCGGGCCCATTTTTCTTCCTCAAACCCGGCCGCCCTGTCAGCCTTGGTCTGCTCCGCTGCGGACAGTCCCAAGTGCCGCCCTCATGTGGGACCCCGCTGCGGGCTCACCCCGACGAGCGTGGCTGCCGCCTCTCTGCAACTGCGTGACCTCAGAGCTGCCCGCTCTTTGCTTCTCTGGGAGGGTGACTGGCACAGCCCCTGCTTCCCTCCTGGGGCAGCCTGGTGCTCAGCCTCTGGAGCCTGCCCGCCGGGACCTCGCGGCCTCCACGGTGCCGGGCCCGCCCGGGATGGGCCCTGCTCCCGCTCACCACGAGCCTCCACGAGGGTCCGCCCCAGACATGCTGAGCTCCTACCCCTGGTCCCCAGGGAAGGTGAACTTACTGGGACATGGGGCCTGTGCTGAGGCGGTCAGATTGCGATGGGGCTGTGCGGCTGGGCCGGCCCCTTGGTGACCGCGTCCTTACGGGGCAGTGCAGGCCCAGAGGAGGAGGATGCTCTGAAAACCCTGGGAGAAGCCACCTACGTGCAGAGCGGTCAGGCTGCTGGGAGTAGGAGGGGCCTGCGATAGGTTCCATCACTCCGGAAGGAGCCAGCACCTCGATCTCAGACTCTGAGTCCAGCTGGAGTGCGCCAGGCCCCTGGTCTGCGTAGTCCTGGTGAGCTGCCTGGAGGAGGTGGGCAGGGACTAGCCCTGCCTCCCCCACCCTGCTACCCTGTCCCGTTGCCAACCCTTTCAAGGGCCCTGCCTGCCTTTCCAGGGCATCCATCTGGCCCTTCCCAGTGTCCTTCTGGCATCATAAAGGCCACACACACACCTCCTCCCCTGCTTCAGCTCTTCAAGGGCTCCTGGCGGCTGCAGGCTAAAGCCTGCCTCCCTGGCCTCTGGCCCTCCACCGCCTCGCACCTGGGAACCCGGATGTCACCCCTCGGCACTTCGCTCTTCCTCCTGCCCCCCCCCCCGTCCAGCCCCTGACTGGTTGGGCCTAGCAGTTTGAGCCAGCTTGTCACCGTCCTCCGTGCTCGCCTTCTGTCCATGACAGGGAGCATCTGTACCAGCGTGGGGGGTGGGGGGGGCGGGAGCGTGCCTATGTGCGTGGGTGTGGCTGTGGGCCCGGATGCAGGTGAATCTGCGCTGCCAGCGGGTGTTGGCTGTGTGGTTGAGTGTGCAGGGTGCGTTCATATCTGAATGCTTCTGCACACCTGTGTGCTGGGCGTGCAGATGGGAGCATCTGCGCAGGTGGAGACGAGGGGGTGAGGACGGGGAAGGGTGCGCTGCCAGTGCCCCCTTTCTCTTCCCTGGCTTTCCTTCCGTGCAAGCAGGAGAAGTCCCCGGCTCACGTGGGTCTCAGGAGCTGGCTCCGAGCAGGCACTGGGTTGCAGGGAGCGGGGAACTGGCTGGTGCCTTCACCGGGACTGTGCCCCTCAGCGGGACCCTGCTCCTGGCCGGGGTCGCCAGCAGCAGGTCTTCTGGGACGCCCGAGCGGCGCTCAAGGGGAGCCGCTCTGCGGCCAGGAGGCGAAGGCTCACTCAAGTCTGCCTGGAAGGGGCGGCACACCCTGGCCCTCCTCCCTCAGTCTGCTCTGCGCAGAACCCCCAGCTGGGTCACCCAGCAGGACAATGACTGCTGCTCAGCCATCGACTTCCACACCTAAGCATGGCAGATGAGGCTGAGCAAAGAAACACCGAATTTAATAAAGCCAGGCACTGGGAGAGCTCTCCAACCCAAATCAATCCTCGATGTGTTTTTAATTAAGTTATAGCCCTTGTGATTAAAGAGTGTGAATTTCATTACTGTGACCATTTATCAAAGAGCCGAACCTTTCCAATAGGCAGGGAAGGAGGCTTTTTATTTTCATCAACACCAAGTGCCCTGCTTGTATCTCGACTGAGTCATCGGGGAGAATTGTGCCCCTCCCAAGCTGCCACCCAGTCGGTGATGACAAAACCATGCCCACCCCCGCGCCGCCCATCAATAGGCCAAGGCAGGTGAGTGTGCGACCTGATTTGGTTCAAGTGTGCCTCCCGCCCCCCAGCCTGGCTGTCCAGCTGCCCAAGCCCAGGCCTGGGGGCTGCGGACTGACCGGACACAGAGGGCCGTGAGCTGCGCTCCGCCCGTGGGGCTGGTCTGCTCCCGCTCACGCAGCTTCCTGGGTGCCTGAGGGGGAAGGGAGTGGGGAGGGTCCCACATTTAGATTCTGGATGTGCTCTCATGCACGCGTGGTCTTTATGGTTTGGGAGACTCTCTTAGTGGATTATTAGTTACAGGGAAGAGCCCACCCATGTGTCTAGAGCTTGATAAATTTCGTGAACACAGAAGCCAGGAGCCCCCACAGGCTCTACCCCCGCCCCAGGGGCAACCACACTCTCTCCTGAGCATGACCGGTGTGCGCTCATGTTTGTACTTTTACATGGAATCTCATCGAACCTGCTTTTTTGTGTGTCTGGTTCACTCAGCATTTACGCCTGAGATTCCATGTGAGCACGCCCAGACTGACTACCTGTTCTACCCTTGATGGGTACTTGGGTTGCTTCCACTTTGGACAGCTCGAGTAATACTGCTCTGCGCACGCGCGTCCTCATCTCCTGGGGAACGTCTAGGTGCGTTGCCGCAGGTCACAACGCAGGTAGGGCAGCTGCAGCTGGGTGTCCGCGCCATACTGTTGCCAAGGTGGTTGCACAAGGTGCGCTGGCACCAGTGGTAATGGGTCTACATCCTCATCAGTGCACGAAGCTGCTGTCTCCCTCACTGTGGGCATTCGGGGGTGGGGGGAGGTACTTGTCCCAGGTGGGGTTTTTGGGAGGTGGGCTCTAAGATAAATATTTGTGTAGAGGATGTTTATTGGGAGGTGTGCTCAGGGACAGCAGCCTTGAAAAAGCTGGAAGAAACAGCATCAGGCACGGGGAGGTTGGATTGTGATGCAGTCAGCCCAAAGATCTCAGCCCATCTCTGACAGTTCTGACTCTGGATGGCCCTTCACAATTGCTCCAAAGCGGGGCCAGAGGCTGAGTCTTTACGTCTCACATCAAGAAGTCACTGGATACAGGCTTTCGCTGCGGAGAGCAGGTGGCCAGGAGAGGAGTTCAGTTGGAACGCCAGCACTCGGGGGAGGACGCTTCAGTCCCGCGGAGGCCGTGGGAATAGGGCACGCACCGGAGCCCACTGCAGACGCATGAGGTGGGCTTGCAATTTGCCTTGCCCTGGTGACGTCGTTGGCCGTTTGGGTAGAGTCTCATGAAGTGTTTACTGGGCCCTTTGCCAGGCTTCCCATTCGGATGGCTGTCTTGTTCTTACCGATTTGTAGAAATTCTTTATATATTTCACACAGTCCTTTGGATATACATCTTGGTCATGTATCTCAAAGAACTAGCTATAATATATGATGCATAGAGAGACCCTAAGAATCACTATCAGAAGGACAGGCACTTCAATAGAAAATTTTGACAAGGAGACTGACTATACGTTTATCTAAATATCCATATATCTATCTAATCTCAGTCTCTATCTCTCTGTAAACCAAGTATCTTCTTCCCTCTCTGAGGATGGCCTCTTTCCACTCAATGCTTGAGAAACAAAAGTTACTGGTTTTAGTGTCATGTAATGAATTTTTGGGTATGGTTATTACACTCAAAGTCTCATTGAAGCTATCTTTGCCTACACTGAGATCATGAAGATGTTCTTACATTCCCCTAAATTTTTTTTCTTTATCTTTTATACTCCACCTAGAGTTGGTTTGGGTGTACAATACGAGGTAGGAGTCCCAATGTATTTTTTCTATATGCTGTTCATTCGGCCCATAGTAATTTATTGCACAGACAGTGTTTTTCTAATCCTGAAATGATGCATGGGTGTGCTTCTGGACTCTTTATTCAGTTACCTTTTCAAATTGACTTTTGAGGATCCTTGCAATGTGTTTGTTTTTTCTAGAGCTTTCCACTCTTAACAAGACCCCAAAAAGCTCTTGGTTGTGTAGAGTATACCTATTGATATTTTAAGTTTTAGGATTTTAAACTGAGAAAACTTTCAAACTGTTTATTTATGAATCCATTAAAAAATAACACTTGAAAGCCCATTATACATTGACATAAATAATTATATTTTCCCAGACAAAGATTATCAGTGACAAGAGTGACATCATTTTACATTTTTACAAATCTCTTTAATGTCAGGCTTAATAGAAGACAGCTGGATTGTTGTATCTACTTCTATAGCCAATCTGTTGTGATATCTCATGTTGTGTCATCTTTAGAAATATTCACTGTGTGGTTGAGAGGACAGCGGGAAAGAAGCATCCTGATGTCACGAGGAAGAGTTTTGATCTTCTGGGCCCCAGAATGGGTCTCAGGGACACTTAGGTGCCCGCGGGCCACACTGTGCCAAGCACCGCCCTGGCAGAACGGGGCCTGCCCTCCCGTGAGCTAGAGACAGCAGCATGCATGCCCCGCCCTGCACTCAGGTCGTGTCCCGGACCAGCCGTGTCCCCAACACATCGTTGCCTGAGACGTGCGGGGAGAGGCAGTTTCCCCATCCCCAAGTCCTGGGAGAAGCGAGTCCTTTCATTTCCAGAATCCTTATCTGCGTCCGCGTGAGGCCACACATGGCTGTGTCTGCTCACTAACTCGGGGTCCATCATGGTGCCAAGTTTACAAAGACGCCAGGGAGAAGTGGGAGGCCCAAGGTAGCCTGAGACACCAAGAAGACCGGGCGTCTCAGCAGCTGCCCCCGGGCGGAGATGGGGGCACGCAGTGACAGCCGCTTGCACTTGAGGACGCAGTCTTGGCGTGGGCAGCGTGTCCTCCCATGCTGGGCCGCCCGGAGACTTAGCTGTGGGCAGCAGGGAGTTGCCTCGGGCCCTAGTGGGTGTGACCAGGGCAGGTTAATATTCTGCTTCTGTCTCCTCGCTCCTTTTCTAGCCCGTAGGGCACCCCAGCAGTGAAGTGGGTTAGAGAAGGCCGTGGAAATTCTGACGGGCCCTGAAGATGTCAACACCCGTCTGCAAGAGGCCACAGGGCAGGACCATGAGCTGCAGTCTGGCCATCTTGGGGAGTGATGGCCAAGCACCTCCCCGCCACCCCCTCAGTCCTCTCTGCCGACAGTGAACCCTATCTCTGCACTTGCACGAGGCGCTGGGGCAAGGGGCAGGGCTGGGCAGGGACCATTTCGTGAAGGGTCTCTGTTCTCAGGCTCTTACAAGCTTAGCTGAAGCCCCCACCCCGCCCTGCCCACCTCCAGCCCTCCCAGATGGTATTTCCCTGGATTTGGGTGGAGACAGCGGTTTCCCTTGAATGCTCGCAGTTCTTCAGGGTCTCTGCCAAGCCAAGCGCCAGCTCTGGCTCTGTGTCCAGGGCTTGGCGTCTCACTAGGAGCTTTTGCTGCCCCGACCATCTATCAGTGCTGGACGAACTGTGACCTGTCCCCAGGCCAGCTGAGGCTGCCACTAGGTCCTGATCCCCAAAAGGGACGTGGACAGCAACGGGCAGAGGGCCAGGATGCCACCAGTGCCGAGGGGCACTCATGCCTTGTTGCCGTGGCTGCTGGAGGGATCATGCAGCATCTCACAGAGCAGGAGGAAAGGATGGCTCCAGAGGCAGCCACGGGGTCACTAGCGCAGACTGCTGTCCCTGCCCTCTCAGGAACAATGCCCCTGGGCCATGAGCTCTGCGCCAAGCCGTGCCCAGGGCTTTCTACCCGGGATCCTGTTCCTACTTGGATTTCACTGGAACCATGACGGGGCAGCGTGGGCAGGGAGATGTGAGCCAATGAAGATGCTCGTCCTGGTCAGAAGGGTCACCCCAGCCAAGGTCTTTCCACCCGCCACTGTCTGTCAGCTCAGCGACCAGCTCAGCTTGAGAGAGTACTTTTCTGGAGGTGCCTGGAGTTGAACTGCGGGAGGCCCTCTCCTGGGAGGACCTCCTCGACTGTCCCTTTGCGATGGCGCCGCCAGGCCGTACTGTGTAACCCTTTGCCTGCTGTGCCTTCTCTGGTAACCCAACAACTAGGCGCCCTTCTTCCCCAACCCGTGGTCTTAGCTCAGTGTGTGTAGACGGTGTCCGGAGCCTTGAGGAGTGTGAGTTCCTCTCAGGCCGGTCTCTCACGCACACAGGGGTGGATGTGTTACCGTTGAGCTGCCTTTTCCCTCTTACCCGTCTGAGAGGTGGTTGCTTATCTGCCGGCTTAGAAAACCCCAGAGGGGCATGGGGTGGTGCTGGCATGGGAGTCCTGTGCACCCCGACAGCAGGAAAAGCAGCAAGCAGCAGCCTCAGCGCCACGCTGGTCTTCCCTTGTGCCCTTTCCCTGAACCTCCCTTTACGCCAAGAGGTCAGAAGGGCGGGGAGCCCCACCCCTTTTCCACAAATGCGGAGACTGGCATTCTGAGAGGTGAGGTGACTTGGCAGACGCGATTGAATTGAGGACCTGGAGAAAGATAAATTACGGGCGTCACGAGGGTGGAGCCTGCATGTTCTGGCCAGCCAGGGAGATTTGATGCCGGAAGGCAAGTTGGCGTGCTGGCTCTCAAGAAGGAAGGGCCCTCCGCCCCCGACCCCCCAGGAGTACAGATGGCTCGTAGGGAAGAGAGGGCAGAGAGAGACACTCCCCTGAGCGCCTCCACAGACAACCGCGGTGCAGACAGCTTGACTCTGGCCAGGCGAGGCTGACTGTGCTCTTCTGCCCCGCGGCACTTCGGGCAGGAAGGGTGGCAATTCCGTCGCTGTCTTGGCAGAGACTAGTGGTCACTGGTCAGTGGCAAAGCGGCACAGAAGCCAGCCTCTCAGCACACAGAACGAGGCAGAAGGTCTCTCCAGGGCCTGCAGGGATGAGGGTGAAGTCTGTTGCTTAAAGCTCCTCCTGTGACTTGCAAAGTCTTTAAGGCAGCGATTAGGAGCCCGGAGGCCGCGGCCTGTCTTCGCTTCAGGACTGTCAAGTCCATTGCTGACTTGACCACAGCCCTGCTGACCGAGATGGGACCAGACAGTGTGTGAAGGGCGCTTTTGGGGGCTCTGGGATACTTCGCTGCCCCCCGCTCTAACGAGGTGGCCTCTGTGCTACTGCGGTCTCCGGTGGCACTGGAGCAGCGACCATCCAGGGTGGGGTGGGGCTCAGCAGGGCTGTTCCCTGGAGAGCGAAGACCTGGGCAGCTCTCCGGGGCTCGTCCCTCC